ACTAAGTAAGACAACTTTATTCTCAAATACTAGCTGAGATCCCTTTTGTCAAACAACGTTGAAATTTTACACATGTGAAAGAAATAACACTTCAGTGCTGCATTTTTAGCCAGCTTGTGCTAAAAACGGGACAAACTTTTGCATCAACCCAATAATATGCACTATGATTCATGTTATCTGAAAATAAATCTATAAAAATATCATATTTACCTTATAACCTAATTGTTCAATAATATCAAGTATTACTTTAGGTAGAAAACACTCTTTCCAATGCCTTATAGGATTAGGAATACGTCCTCCTTTAATAGCAATATTAAAATCTTCTCGAAAAATACGCCAATCTCTTTCTGTCATTTCTTCCAATGTTTTCTGAGTCCAATGTCTATCATCCCATTTTTGTTTATCTTCTTTTTTCTTTAATTTTTTTAAACGCAATCTGCAATTTTGCAGATTAAAATAATAAATTTCAGAAATACTGCATTTCACTCAAAGAAAAATAAAAAAAATTTTCTCTAAATTAGTTTTTGGAAAACTTATGCTTAAATACTTTATCCTAACACTTTCTGATTATTTTGCTGATAAATTTACATAAAATTTTAAAAAATTAATGAAAAATATATTCTTATAAATTTATATTCATTATTTGATTAATTGATAATATAAATTGAAATAATCACATTTCTTGTTCTTTTTCAGCTAGAGTTCTTCTTTTCTCCAAAAGTTCTCCATAAAATTTTGATTGCTCTTTTTTTTGTGACTGAAAGAAAAAGTTGATAATTCTAGATATAATTTAAAGTAACCATTAGAACTGATTAAAAAAAACAAAACAAAAATTAAGTTTATTTTAAAAGTAAACCAGCAACATTTAAAATTTTGGTGGCACCATCTTTGTTCATATTTTATTAAAACTTTTCATATTTCTAACTATTATAAAATGGCAAAAAGCTTAAATATGAGGGTAGGGATGGGTTTTATAAAAAAATGGTAAATGCTAATAATGAATAAAATTGTCACTAAGTCCGATCTTACTGGAGGTACACATGACCCACATAATCTCCCCACCACCTCGATCTTTAACCACCAAAATTTAATAGCATCAATCCCTAGTAAACAAACCTCCCTGCAAAATTTCAGAAATTTTCAACAAAATGCACATGTTATTAAGCTTCAAAAAGGTTAAACAAAATTGTGATCCCCCATACACAAACAGCCATACATACAGAAATTACACCCGAACATTTTTGCATTTCAAGGTATCCTGAGCACAAAATTGTAAAGTCATTTTTTGCCTGATTTCCATACTTTCTCTCTGTTATAATAGCTGGTTAAGTAATAAATAAACTTAATTTTTAATGAAAAAGTTTTTAAATTATTTATTTATTTATTTTAATGAAGTTTATTTAGTTTTAAAATAAATTATGTTTCTTGGAAGACTAAAATAATTAATAAAATGAACTGAATTCTTAAATCAATTATATTAAAAAGCAAGTACAATCAAACTTCAATTTTTACAGATTTGATTATATGTAAGTTGGCTATCAATAATTAAATGAAGAAAATTAAAAAAAAATTCAGCAACGAATTAGTTGCATTTCCTAGCAACATTTAAAATTTTGGTGGCATCATATGTTACATTTTATTTTAAATGAGCAATTGTCACAATGCTGGGTTGCAATTTTTAATCATATTTTTAATTTATTTAATTTAAAATATATACTCTCCATCTCAAATTAGTACTGTATTGTCTTTTCCCTGTACATCATACTTTCCTTGAACAACAGAGTTGTGCCAGTCATCTATCTAACACTTTTCAGGAGAAAATTTCTGAATTGAAATA